CCTATGACCTTGGGTGGAAGGGGCACAGCAGCCTAAGGTGTTTCCACAGCTGAGCAGGAGCTGGGCAAATAATTACTCCAACCTCCCTATCCTCCATCCCCCCATCTCCTTTCGGGGTGCTCCCCTGTCACTAGCCCAGCGAGGCAGCGGGCGAGGTGCACAGCGGTGAGTAGGATGGAGGGGCAAGCAGAAGACGCCCTGTACGGCGCCCAAGGCCACGCAGCCAGCGCGGTCTAGGGATTCAAGCCCGGGCCTACAAGGCTTCAATGCCCAGGCTTTTGTCCCCTCCCCAGGCTGTCCCCCATCTGTGGTAGGACGGTCCTTAGGGCAAGAAAGATCCAGGACCCAGCCTGGCCCCCACCCCCAGGGATCACACTCTCGTCCGGTAGTACTTCGCTCCCTGCTCTGGTTTAACGGGGGCAGACCCGTGAGAGCACCTTGGTGCTGCAGGAGTTAAAGTTTCTGCTCCATTTCAACCTGTAGAGGGCGGTGCCCTTCCCTGAGGCCCCAGGCAGACCCTCCCAGGAAATCCACTCCTATCCTTGGGCAGCTGCCCAGCAGCCTTCAACTACGCCAGATGAACTGGGAAGATTTGATTGATGAGAAAGTAGATGTGGGGGTTCCCCTAGGAGAATAATTTAATTTTATGGGGAAGGAACACGGGAATGGGGAGCTTGGGCCCTAAACTCAGCAAGCAGGCGTCCAGGCGCAGCCAGGGACATGTGTAACTCATTACCTCTGCGAGCCTCCCATTTGCGGCCGGTGGATGACGCCACCAGTGTGGTGGAGGGCCTGAGACCGCGGGGTGAGCTGACTGCAATATTTTTCTGACACTAACACTTCTCTCTGACCCTCGGAAAGGGCCGTGGAGGAGCCAGGCCCAGCCAAACACCACCCACGCCCCAGCACTCCGCCTCCACATCCTGGCGCCCAGACTGGAGAGGCCTACGGCTGTGTAGGAGAGAAAAGAAAGGACCAGGGAAGGTGAGAGGGGAGGAAGAGGAAGAAGAGGAGAGAGGAAGGGGAGAGGGGTGAGCAGGCCCAGCTAGCCTCTGTTTGGGTTTCTGTTCAAAGGCTGGTGGTGTTCAGCGGGCATCGAGGGCAGAGGACACTTGGCTAAAGGAACTCAGAGGTTGAATTCTGCAGTTACTCTTTCCACGTTAGCTCAGCAAAACAGAGGGAACCAATGCTTTTGCCAGGTGGAGATGTGGTGAGGAAGTCCCTGTCCTCAGGGCCTTCCCATCAACAGGGGGCTCCAGTGAGGATGCGGGTCCTGAGGGGCACCCCAGCCACGGGGTGCCCCGGAACGCGAGGTCCCGATGATGTCACAGAGTGGGGCGTGGGAGTGAGCTTTGAAAGAAGCAGGAGCTGGCAAGATGGCTTCTCTTGGAGGGGACAGAGGAATAAAGGCACTTGCCAGCCCTCACCTCCCCTTCTCACCTGGTAAGTGAAAAGAAGGGAAGGGATAAAGGCAGGGTGGGAGAAAGAAAGACCAGAAAAGAAAGGAGAGCAGAGAAGGTGGGGGAAGTTGGCAACCTGCAAAACCACACATTCACCCCTGAAGTCCAGGTCACACCCTAATGTCTGGGCTGCGTTTTTGCAACTTTGTTTCCCCAGATCCCCCTATCCCCAGCACCAAGAGGAGGCACCTCCTCTCCTCCCCGTCTTCCTGCCTTCACAGGGAAAACTCTGAGAGGGACTTGGAGGCCCTGTGAGGCCCACCAGACGACACTGTTTTAACTCACTCAAGCCCACCAGTGGCTCGGGTCTCTGTTTCTGCTCCCACCTCCACCCTCTGTCTTCTTTCCTGTCAGCTTCTACCCACCTTCCCACCAGCCCCACCCTGTCTTTCCCTCTCCTGTTAGACGCTCCAGAGATTAGGATGAAGAAAAAACTAAATCTTGGGGACCCAGAATAGACCTGGCTGGAATTGCCCCAAGTCAGAGCTCATTGTTTTCCTCTTAGAAATGAGAGGGAAGAGAAAAATCAACCAGAAACCCATGAGCTTTTGGGCAGCTGGCTGCATCTCTGGAGTCTGGCCTTTTTTGAGTTTCTTCCCCTCCTCCCCCCTTTTTGGCACCCAGGAAGGAAGCAGAGGAGAGACCCAGATGATTTGGGAAAACAAATACTTACAATGTATTTGCTTTGCCCCCTTTAGATTGCAAGGACACCTGTGTTTATTCATTTGCTCGTTCATTCATTCAACAAATACTTAGTGAGCACGTCCTACGTGCCAGGCTGGGAGACATCAGTGAACAAAACAGAGGCACCCTTGTCCAGTCTGTTCTTCCCATGAGGAGCAGACAGTGAATGATGAACATAATAGGAAAATCACATATATAATTTTAGAGCAGACCGGCAGGTTCACATGAAAGCCGGCTTCCTCGGCCAGGTAGGTGCCTGGGTTTTGTATTCCCACTGAGGTGGGAGCCTTTGCCTGGCTTTGCTCAGGGTAGCATTGTGTCCCAACTGAAAGGCCCACACCCCGAACACAATGGCCAAATCTGTCTCTACGTGCAGACTTTTAGAACTGGGTGGACCTCGGAGTCCCCCCATTTGGCAGGCGCAGACACTGAGGCGCAGAGATGGGATGCAGCCATGTCACGTCACACACTCTGGGAGGGGTGAGTCAACCTCTCCCCACATCTTCCGACCTCGACTGTCCACCTTTCACGGGGGGCTGGGCCCCAGGTGACCCCCGAGGGTGCGTACTCTGATCAGATCACCCCACGGCTGGGGGTTCTGGAAAGCCCAGAGCCTGGGGTTCCTGTTATTTTTCAGTCCTTCTGGTCCCAATAACCTTTTTCTTTCTTTCTTTTTTTTAAATTTGAGGTTCATAAAACCAGAGAGTAAGATAAGGTAAGAGGAAGGGTGTATGATGACCCAGTGACACTTCCCACCCCAGGCCTGTCCTCACCCTGGGGGGCCCCCCAAGCTGTCCTTCCCTCACTGGCACCCAGGCTGGGCCCAGAGGTCCTTCGGTCACCCCCGCTGGGCTGGGCCCCAGTTCTCTCTTGCTAAACCAGGCCTCCCCACTGATGGGCCGGCAGGAAGAGGGCTGGAACAAGGATACAAAACTAATGGGACCTCTGCTGATGGGCGGGCGGGGACCCCCGCGCTGAGCCCTGGCCAGGGACCCAGTGCCCCATGATCCTTCCTCTCTTCCCAGGCAGCATTAACCTGACAGAAACGCTGGCCCGGATTAGGGAAGCTCAGCCGGTCATGCCTTTCCCCACCCACCTCTTCTCTTACAAAATTGTATTCAGTCTTTAAGGCCTTTTCCAGGAAGGCTGCTCCCTGCTTGAGTTCAATAACCACACATATTTTCACCTACTTATATGATGGGTAATCAGTTGTCCCCAGCTAGTCCCTTCCACAGGGATCGTAAGCCCTTTGAGGGCAAGGATGGATTCATTTCTCTTTGGAACATCTCTGGCACCTAACCAAAAGCTTGGCACATTGTGGGTTCTCAAAATATGTTTGTTGACTGGGATCCAGAGAAAGAGATGAAATGGTGGGCAGTTTACTGGGGCAACCGAGGAGGTGTATCGGTCACAAGCCCAATTTCACCTTGTCTCTTCTCCCCACTGAGACTGTCCTCACTCCCTGCCTTTCTAAGCCACCCAGCTTCCCTTCCTGCACTTAGCACCTTATGGGAGGAGAAACAGGGTTGGAGCACGAGGGAGATGCGTGTTTTTTAGTTGTTTCATAGCAGAGGCGACTGTCAGAGCAGAGCTCGACAGAGCATGGTGCTTGAAAAAAGGCCTGCACGGCGGTTAGTTTTATGTGTTAATTTGGCTGTGCCATGACAGTGCCCAGATTAAATGTCATTTCCGGCTGTGTCTCAGAGGGTGATTCTGGACGAGATTAACTTTTGAATCGGTGGACTCAGTAAAGCAGACTGCTCTCCCCAGTGCGGGTGGGCCTTGTCCAATCAGTTGATGGACGTGACTAGAACAAAAGGTGGAGGCATTTGTTTTTTGCTGGGACATCTCATTTTCTCTGGCCCTCAAATTGCCCTTTATGCCATTGACTCCTCTGATTCTCAGGCCTTCTGACTTGGGCTGAATTACACCCCCCATTCTCTTGAGTCTTCAGCTGCAGCAGGCAGATCATGGGACTTCTCAGCCTCCATAATCATGTGAGTCAATTCCACACAATATATCTCTTTATATATGTCCATATATGTCACACCGGTTCTGTTTGTCTGGAGAACCCTAACTAATACAGACTATCTCTATCTCACTGACCGTAAGTCTTTGCAAGACTCTTTTGTGAGCTTCCTTCTGTTCATCTTTGAAGTAGGGACAATGCTTCCCACTCCTATGCTCAATGCAAAGAGAAATGTGTGCGTTCATGCAGCATGAATTTATTAAAAGCACCTACTAAGTGTCGAGCTCTGTGCTGGATACACAGGAGGCAGGCTGTTGGCAAAGCTTTGGGCAGTTTTTGGAGAAAACGACACCAGTTATATCATCAAAGTTTCAGCAAAAACCAGACCCCAAAGATGCAGGACCATCTGGGTCACTGGGATGGGGAGCCTGGGGCCTCGGACCCAGGGGGAAGGTGAGCATCTGAAGAGGTATGTTGTCTTCTCACAAAAGTTTATGGGAGTGGATTGGAGGCGCCTCACCTGAGAGAATCCAGGCTAATTGGTTCCGATGCTTTGTCTGACCCCAGCCCTCACTCATTCAGAGAAGAGAGGCAAAGGGAGTCAGGAGACTCAGTGCTGGGGCCCCTCCATGACTGATGAGCTGAATTATCCCTAATGCTGTTCTCAGCCTCCACTAGCTCATCTGTAAAACGGGTACTCATCCTGATGATCACAAAGTTTGTTGGGGTGTATGAATGAGAAGGCACGTGGAAAAGAGCTCTCAAAGCATGAAGTTCAGCATCAGCAGTGTTAAGCGGGAGGTCAGCAGCACCCTGGGACAATGCCAAGGTTGAGGGTGGGGCTCAGGGCCGGTCTCTCACCCCAACACCCAGCCAGGGGCACTCACCATCCTCACACAGGTTCAGCTTGGACAGGCTCCTGCCGTCAAAGGGCTCCTCGAAGATGGAGCCGGTGTCGCGGTCGCTCACTGTGTTCAGGTACGTGGCTTTGTTCTCCATCCCGCCCTGCAGCAGCAGCAGGAGAGGCAGCACGAGAAGAGGAGAGGGAGGGAGGAGGCGGGGGGAGACAGAGAATAAACTGTGGGTGGAAACAGAAACGAATGGCTAGAACAAGTTGTCACCCTGTGACCCTGAGCCTGAAGAGCGGGACCCTGTCCTCATCAACAGGTGACATCTCCTAGACCCTTAGGACTCCGAGTTCTCCTCCCCAGTTTCCTCAGTGCTTAGGAAGGCCAAGGCCCTTTGGACCTTTCTGATTGTGGGATCTGCCGCCTTCTTTCAACAGCCCGTGGTGGGGCTGGCCCCCTGGACTGAGGGGGCGGGGGGCACCAAGAGACATACTGGGTGGGCCTGGAGGGACCAACTTTTCTGACTCAAAAGGAGCAGTTTCTGAGCCTCTGGAGCCCTGAGCATGTCAGAGAGACTGGGGTTTCTACTCTGTGTTGAAGACAACGGAAACTAGACCCAAAGGTGGGCACCAAGACCACTGGCCAACACAGCTAAGACCAGAGCTGCTCCCAATCCAGCGGGGCTGGGCTCAGTGGGACTAGCAGGGATTCACTGCCATAGGAGCCTGAGCAGCAGGTGGCCCCAGTGGGACCCACAGACACTAAGGCCTGGACGGGCCCAGGTGCTTGAATGGCCTGTGAGGCGGGATCACAGGGGCTTGAGGTCCTATCCATGGTGTCCCAGGAATGTACACGTTGACTGAGGAAAGTGCCCTGTTATTTGAAGTGAACCGGCCCCATTTACACAAGTGTGTACAACACCACCCCATTTTGTAATATACACACATCCTGCATATGTGACGGGAAGACTATGTGGATGTGTCCTGATCGTTCCAAAGCGGTGGGAATTGTGCCTCTTTTTGTTTGCTGGATTTTCTTATGATGCATTCTTTGTATAATGAGAGAATCCACTTTTTTGAGCCAGATTACAATGCATTTATTTACATAAAATACTTGACATTCTTTTCTCACACATACGCTCAGTGATTTTATAGATTACTTTCTACTTTAGCCATGAGTTTAGCTTGACTTGCGTTCTGATGATCTTTGACTATATGGGTATTGAATCCAAAAAACCCTTTTGTAGAAAGTGAATTTTTTGGAAGAGAAAAGCCCGTGGTGGGGGCGGGATCCCAGGTCCAGCGTGGAGCGAACTCAGCTCTGAGGCCCCGGGTGCCAGCGAGGGGCCCACCACCTGGAAGGAGGCGACAGGGGCCTGGGAAGTGGTGGGGGGGGGGGGGGGGGAGGACAGAGCCTGACGCTTGAAAGGACAGCCATTCAGTGAGTTCCTCTGCAGGGGCAGGTGGGAAGGATGGCATCGGAGCCCTTTCAACAAATAGTGATGATGAAGGAGGAGGCTGGTCGAACAGCTCCGCCTGGCAGAGCAAACACGAATGCCACGTTTTCATGACTTGCTCTTTGTCCCCGGACGCCTCTGGCTTCAGGGCTGAGAAGAGGCCGCAAATGACCGGTTCCCATACAACTGTCCTTCTGACAGCCAGAAGGGATGAAGAGCGGATTGTGCTCTTGTCTTTTCAAGTAATAAGATGCCACATCTCTTGCATGCCTGTGCATGCTTGCAACACACATGCATGCACCTGCATGTGCACACGCACACACACGTATGCACAATCAGCTTGTTCGTGGCCTCTGCAGGCCTTTCTTCCAGCGGGTGGGAGGGAGGGAGGGAGGGGCCGAGGGGAGCCCAGAGCTCTGCCATGATCTCTCTGCTCTGCCCTCCCGGTTCCAGGCACCTGAAGACAGCTCCCGCCCCAGCTTCTCCGTGCTGCAGCTGTGTCCAGTTTGCTAGTCTCCCAATACCTATCGTCCATCCAAGTCTTCCACCCAGTAAGGGCCTCTAGGTGGGGCCCTGAGCAGCTCCGCTGCGGCTATGCTGCAAGGGAGCCTCCCTAGTTTCACAGCACTGGGTGCAGCAGCCCAGCCTCTGGCCTCCACCAGATCCTGGAGAGCTGCAAAGCAGGAGGCCAGTCAGTGTCTTCCGCATGCGGTAATCCTCTCTTCGCCAAAGGCAACAGGCACTGCTGCCCGGAGGTCGCACAGAGCCAGGCTGCCATGCGGGGAGTGGAGGTGTCAAGACTTCATTTCTCTCTTCCCCCTCTGCTCATCAGCTCCTGGGCCAGAGCTAGCACGCGCTGCTGTTATCTGGAATGTGTCCGTAGGGCGGCCCTCTCTGCTCTCTCCCCGCCCCTCAGCCAGTGGAGCAGAGCCCTGGGGAGCTTGCTGGGGAGAGGGGCTGGCCCAGCAGGAGGCCAGATGTGAGTGAGATGAGACTGCAAATGCTCAGCCAGCTCGGCTCATGTTTGTTACTTGGGAATGAAACCTAAGAACATTCTGTCTGCCCCAGGTTTTATTTTGGACCCTTCGACCATTGGTCTTAAGGGCTTTGGGCCAAGTCTGCACTGTCAGGCAAGGTACCACTAACTGCTGAGTGTGCCGATAATGGAGCAAAACCCCTCACGTGTGCATACACCCCACAAATGACAGACCGCTTGCCATCCAGCAGCTCTCTGTCCTCCCAGGAGCACTGTGAGGGGGAAGGGTGGTGTCAATCTGTCATTCCCATTTTAAAGATAAGCTGACTGAGGCACAAAGAGGCAAGAACCAATGGATGTCAGAGAGGGGTGAAGTGCCATGCAAACACTTCCAAACCAAGGCACCAGCTCAGCTACATGGCTGTTTTGTCCAGGAAGGTTGTACCCCTCTCATTGACCACCTTTAGGATCCAAGATGAGTCAGTAAAGAGGGCCAGGCAGGGGCACTGGGGCCAAGGAGAGGCTGTGAGAGCTGGAAGGGAGGGGACAAGGGCCATGGACACATGGGCAAGGCGTGGGCACCAAAGTGCCTGTAGATGAAGCCCAAGGAGCCTGGACTTCTGTGTTTCAGGGCAAAGTGGGCTTCCCCCCCACAGAGGGGACACTTCGCTGACCTTGTAGAGGGTCCTGGTGATACATTTTAGAACTGAAGTTCTCGGCCATCCACAGCCCCACCCAGGCGGCCCTGTGCAGGCCGCAGACCCGGGGTCCTGTCCTGGCTGCACTTCTCATTCCTTGGGAACTGGGCCCAATCAGCTGATCCCGTGCAGCCTGGGGTCATCCTTTCTGTGATGGGGAGAAGCACGTCTGCCAGCCACTCGGCTATCAAGAGCTTCCTGGGGGAGTGTGAACCTGGGAGGGCTTCAGGGCCAAGGGCACACAGGAAGTTGGTGGCAGTGTCTGTGAGAACCAGCAGCCCCCCAGCATCTTCCGATTCTGCCAAGCAGCCAGGTTGGGGGGTCTGCAGGTTCCTGAGGCTTCCGTCCTACCTTGACAGTGCCAACAGCTATGCTCTTCGGGGTTCCCTTTGCAAAAGGCAGCTGTGAATGCAGACCAGAGCTGAGATCCAGACCCTGACTCTCAAAGCCCCTCTCTGGGCAGCAGGAGGACTCAATCCATTCTTCCTGCTGAGAGGGTGGAATGAGCCTTGCTTGTTGCTGCAAAGACAGTGACCCTGGGTTCCAGCACCTAACTCTGCAGGGCTCATGGCTTTTCTACAGATCGCCTAGCTTTAAACTCATCAAAACCATCAGCATGAGTGTAGCCCTCCCTGGAGAGAGAATTACTAAGCAGGTTCTGGGGACCTTTCCTTCTCTAACTGTACTTAGTTTACCTAAATCGTAACCCAAGGCTGGAAGGCTGTGGATGTTTTATAAATGAGCTCTCCCTTTCCATACCCCACCACTAGGCAGGTGTGCACAAACACATGCTAATGCACAGACACATGAGCACACTCTGCACATGTAGAGGGACTGTCACCTGTACCATCTGCTCCCTGAGTAGGCTCTTGAGCAGCGACACAGGCCAGGGATAGTTGTCACTAAGGCAGTAGCTTACTGTGGCACCTGCAGATGCACACTCGCCAGTCCAGGCAGCTGGCAGAGGGCCCCATGGATCTCCAAAGGTTGCCCCCGTGGCCTTCCCACCTGGTGCCGGCACCTCCGCACTGCTCCGGAGCCGGAGGGTCCCTAAGCACCGCGCCCTGCTCCATCTGCCACATCTGAGTCCTCCAACTGTACCCGGGACACCATGCCCAGGTGCTGGGACAGAGTTGGCGCTGAAGTGTCAAAGGGATAAAGACTCACCCTAGTGCCTCCCCTGAGGCTGCAGAGGCTGTCCCCTCAGTTCCCGGCATCCACCACGGTGGCTGGAGAGCTGGCCGCCGCCGCCGCACTGAGACCCAGGCAGCCCCTCCAAGCTTGTCCCCACAGCCAGCCAAATGCAGACCGAGTCATAGAAAGAGGCTGTAAGGTCACGCAGTGACTCGTCTTGGGGAGTCACTTCTCCAGGAGGATCAAGTCAGGAGGCAAGACTCAGCTTTGGGCCCGAGGTGGGGCCCGTGGCTGGGGCGTCCCCAGCTTGGTGCCTCGCCTTGCTCAGCCAGGGGCAGTGCTCAGGAGATGTTCTGTAGAGGCACCAGCAGCTCTGCTAGGTACTGACTGAGATGTGAACTGCCGCTGCTCTGGCGGCCAGTCTTTAAATACAAAGTTTTTGGAGCAATTGTGGAGGCCCCCCTCCTTGGCGTCTGGAACACGTTCCCCCTCTGGTGGCCAATTGTGGCATTACAGCCACTCACAGGAATGGCTGCTCGGTCCAGAGCTGCGAGGTCAGCCTCCGTCTTTATAAGCCTATTCTAATGGCCCAGCTCAAAGTACTTTTTGGAAACCTTCTAGGAGAATGGCAGGTAGACCTGGCTGGCAAGCCATGCAAACAAACCAGCCTTGTAAACTTATTTATAGGACAGAATTGGCATTGTTTAATATATTCGCCAAACTTGGCTTAAAATTACTTTGTATCTTCCTAAAGTCCCATCCCTTCCTAAAGAACACAGGCTGGCCACCCTGGGGATCTTCAGAAGAGTGCCCCTTGATTCCCAAACTCAATCGCAGCATAGCGCAGCAATAAAGCCAGCACGCGCGAAGTACTGCCATCGCGCCAGGGCGGGGGTGCAGGAGTAAGACAAGCTCGCTGCCTTCAAGGGGGTGGCCATCCGGGAGGAGAGGTGGGCTCAGGCAGAAACAACTATAACCCTAAGCATGATTGATCGCGTTTAATAAAGGAGATCTAACCAAAACGTTAGGATAGCAGTCACATTCCGACTGGGGTGGAGATGGGTGAAACCACAGGAAATGGTTTGAGCCATGGCAATACTGTCAATTTATGTGGACAGTCCCCCCCCCCCCCCGAGGACTGAGCTCTGAAGGCAACGTTTATAAATAAGCTCCCATTTGTTGGTTGAAAATTCAGCCTCAGTGCTCGAGGGTCAGACCTCGGGCAGGAGAGCAGCTCGCCAGGGCTCAGCCCTCTTCCCGGCACAGCTGCCAACCCGCAGCTGAGTCAGGAGTGTCTTCGTCGTTTGCAGTGACAGCGCCTCCTGACTGTCCCTGGGAGGCAGCTCCCAGATAAGGCTCGGTATTCCAGAGGGAAAAATAGTAATGGTATGATAATAATTATAATAGTAATGGTAATAATAATGAACAGAGAAGGGAAAAGACGAAGAGACAGGAAAACACTTCCATGGTATACACCATGTGCTAGGCAATTTGAAGAGCTTTTCTTATATTAACTCATTTAACCTTGACAACAACCCCGTGAGGTAGCTACTGTTATTATTCCCACTTTACAGAGATGAAGGAACTTTGTAACTTGTCCAAGATCAAGCAGCCTGTAAGTGTAGGCCTCGGTGACATTAAGGGACGAGTTGGCCAAAAAGTCCGTATGGCTTTTTCTATAGAGTAAAAGACATTTTTTCCTTTTCACCACTACTTTTATTGATTTGGGTATTTTGAAATTGATTGTTCTCAATGTCTCAATTTGATCATTATCAATTTCAACTGGTCTACCCAACCATGGAACAGCATTGTCCAGCAAGAAATCTCCAGCACGAAAAGTCACAAAACACTTTTGACACTAGATTAGGTACAGCACCTTCTCCATACACTACACAAACCTTTCTTTGTGTTTCAGTTGCGTTTTTATCTTTTTTGAAATAATGAAACATAATATGCTGAAAATGTTGCATATTTTCTTCCATGTTCAATATTAAAAGAGCTACACAAAAATTACCCAATTTTGATAAGTTTTTTTTAATGCACACTGATGATATCTGCCACAATACAATCTAACAAAATTGTTTCAAATGACTTCAAATACAAATACTACTAGAGTTATTGTACAAAAAAACAAAAACAAACCATGAATTAATTTTTTGGCCCATCTAATAGTTTCACATTGTTGTGCAACCAGCATCTCCACCCATCTCCAAAATTTCTTTCATCTTGTGAAACTGAAACTCTACACATTGAACATCTCCCCGTTCTACTCTACCTCCGGTCCCTGGAAATCCCAGTTCTATTTTCTGTCTCTATAAATTGGAGACAGAAAATATCTAGGTAATTTGCTCTGTCTTTATTTGTGGACTGCTTTCAAAAAATATACATATATTCTTTGTATTTTTTACCTTTATTATTTTTTAACCTATTTCATGTCAAATACAAATATTTCAAAAACATTTTTTATGCATTGTTCACAGACCAGTGTTTATCTTTTCTGTTGTTGTTCAGCCTTGTGGGCATATCCAGGTAAAAAGTGTGTAATCTCAAAATCCTGAATTTGGGTTTACTGTTTTTCATAAGTAAGTATTATTTAATTATACCATGAATTTCCTCCATTTGGGTCTCATTCAGGAGATAGTTTTGGTAATAATAATTATTGTACACATAAAGTGATATAGAAATTTAGTTTTTGTGGTTTTGCTTGATCAGCAGTTACATGCTTTCTGATTTATTTTACTGTTTGTCTCAAAGCACCCACCTGCTCTTAGCTGAAACCCATTAGCCACCTCCTGCCTGCGGCCTTACCAGCCCTGCCAGGAGCAGCCGCGTCTGAGGGAAGGCAGACGCATCCGGGAAAGGAGCGTCTCCGAACCAGGAGTCAGCTAGGCCTCTGGGAGGCTCTGTGCCTGATCAGCTTTGAGTCACTCCTAGTGACTTCTATTTCCTCCTCCATAACTTTCTATCTTTTCCCCCCAAAATAATCAGGTGTACTTTGTTAATTAGGAAAGGTACAATAACACCTTCAAAAGACACAGTGCAGCTGAATTAGGGACAAAGCTGCAGATTTAGAGTGTCGAGTCCTGGGCTTTCATCTGACCGTTCCTGGTTGTGCGTCCTTGGGCAAATCACTTCACTTCTTGGTCTCCATATTCTCATTGGACATAAAGAAAATAACCCCGTACCACAGGGCAGTTGTGAGGGTCAAATGAGATAAGGCAGTAACCATGAGCCCACTAGTTTCATGAGATGTTCCTGGAGTTCCTTGGAAAAGCGTTCTCCCGTCAAAACAAAATGTGTTCCCTAACTGCAGGGCTTACCAGAGCCTTTAAGATGCTACAGAGCACTCTGGTTCTCCAAGGCGGGGTAGAGTATTAAGGCTTCTCCATCCTCAGTTGAACAGAGAACAGGGCTAGTGTTCCACCGGACATGCTGACGGAAGTTCTGAGCTAAGGTAGTCAGCAGACTTATTTCCAGTTAAAGAAAAAGAAACTTTAGAAAACTGGAAGGCTTTTTTCCCTGAGTGCCAAATAGTGATAGATGTCTCATCCTATTGGAAGCTGATGAGGAGCCATTCATTCCGAGGGGACAATGAGGCAATTCCCACTGTCACCTTCCTGAGGGAGGGACCATGTCCTACTTGTCATTGTCTCCTCATCCTGCAGCATCGCCCCATACATGTCAGGTGGATACCTAAACTATGGGTTTCACCGCCTTGCTCAAGGTCAAAGGCTGCCCATTGCCATCGGCTCGCCATCTCCATCCTGGGAACTTAGGCCAGTCCCTTCTCACCTCTCCACACCCACACCCGCCTACTGAGGCTTTGCCCACTGCGCACCCTCCCCCACCACCTTCCGAGGCTTTCCAGCACAGCTCACCCTCCAGGGCCAACCCAGCCCTGACCCTGCCCTGAAGTTTTCTCCACTGACTGGGCTTCCTCTTCTTTTGATGGCTATAGTGCTCAGGGGCTGTTTCACCTGCTCAGGCGCCTGAACAAAGTGCTTTAGGTTCTCTGAGCTCGCCGAGGTTAAGGATCATGTGTGACACTCTTCTGTGTCCCCCCTCCAGCAGCTAGCCCAGTGACAGGCCCCAGCAGGTGGCAGATCAACATTTACTGATCGGTAACCTGGGCAGCATGCTTCAGAGATGCTTTGTGAAGAGAAGACTGGATTCCAAGCCAAGACACCCAGTCCTGACTTTCAACTCCGTCCTCCCAAGTTGCTGTGGGAGTGGGCAAGTCACCGAACCTCTTTGAATGTTCACTTCCTTATCTATAAAACTCAGTTACTAGCTCCTGGCCTTCCCATCTTCAGGGTTATTACTAGGAAGAGGAATGTTGAAAACTCAAAGCACTTCACAAGTGTTAGCCATAGCTATTACTTTTCAGAGTTGACAGTCCCTGACAGATGGCATATTAATCACATGTGGTGGTTCTTTCTCTAGTGTCCAGCTGTTGACAGCTACACAGAGTCCAGCACAATGGAATCAGGAGCCTCCGCCTTGTGGAGTTCCCTGCTGTTCGTCCATCATGGAATCTATCCAACCATCTGCTTCACCTCCTTGTGCTCAGCTCATTTTCATTCATTTCCTGGAAGGTGCGGGGATGGTGGACAATGTGAGACAGCCCAGGTTTTCTGACCCCTGTCCAGGGTTATAGGCAGGAAAGGCGAGGCGCCTTCTCCCTGTCACGTGTACAGGCCAGAGACCCAAGAGCAGGGCTTGCCTGGACCTTCTTCTGTTGTCAGACTCAATGGCCCAGGGTGCCCAAAATGGGTCACATAGTGAGGGCTCTAAGGGGACCTGTCTTGGAGCTGAAATGATATAAATTTTGTTTGGGAGTTGGATGATAAAGTCATTTTATTGTGAGGAATTTATAACTGGTAGCCAAGCATGTTCATTCAAATGAATCATAAGAATGTTCACAAAACAGGGTAAGAATTTGGGTCAAAACTTAGAAGAATAAATTTTGTGGGATAACTATAAGACAGGCAATGTTGGAAAAACTTATCTACCCATACGCAAGATACAGGATACCAGGCTTTTTAGGTACACGTAACAGGAAAAAAAAAAAACACCACTAAGATTTTAGATGAGTTTGAGGCTGATCTGAGTCAGCAGGAGTTGAGAGAAACAGCCACTTCAAAACTAGGGCTGCTTTAATAGAAGCATGGTGAGCAGCACATGGGGGTGCTGGCGCTCCTGCCGTCTGCATCCATGAGCTCATACCTGGTAACGGAACAGTGGCGTTCCGTTCTAGGTGCCACTGATGGAAAGATAAATTCACAGCTTAGAGGGTGCCCACAGGGGTGGCTGGGGTGGTGAATGGTCCAGAAACCAGCAGGAAAGAGCAGTGATTAGCCCAGAGCAGAAAACACTCAAGGAAACATGATTTCTGTTT